CCTCAAGCTATCCCCCTGGGTAGAGTGCTGTGGCATCACAGCTCACAGCAACCTCCAACTCCTGGGCTCAAGCGAGTCTCCTGCCTCAGCCTCCCAAATAGCTGGGACCATAGGTGCCCACCACAACGCCTGGCTGTTTTTTGGTTGCAGCCATCATTGTTGTTTTGGAGGGTCAGGTCAGGGCTAGATTCAAACCCGCCACCTTAGGTGTATGTGGCTAGCACCTTAGCCACTTGAGCCAGAGGCGCTGAGCTGGTATTTTAACTTTTAAAAGACAAATACGTCTCTGTTATCTATCCTCTGGCAAAACTGAAACACCAAGTATAAATATTTGGGATAAATGATATTTGCCAAACTCTGAAATCACTTGTGCCAGGGGCCCCATCTTCCTTTTGTATGCTTTCTTTTCCTTTGGGGGAGCCCAGCCTCAGCCAGCAAGGCTAGTAAAAGTCCAAGAGCTTCTCACACTTCCTGCTGGCCCTTCCAACCAGGTGTTCACTGGAGAGACACTGCAAGTGTCAGAAGAGAACACATGTTAACATTTAGGGAAAGTCCTGAGAGTCATGATCGTGTGCCCCCTTCACCTGGGGAAATATCTGCATTTCACTTTGAACTGAGATTGTAAAAAAGAGTTGTAAAAAAAAAAAAAGTCTATTATTTTCCTGGGACAAAAAAAGAGAATGCTAACCAGTATGTGTTGGTGGGGAGAGTTGGGGCCTGAAAGTTAAATCCAAGGTAGTAGATAATGAATATAACCTCTGCACTCAATCCAGTCACCGCATGTGGCTACATACAGTGGTTCTCAACCTGTGGGTGGGCCGCGACATTAGGGAGGTTGAGAACCACTGGGCTACAACATCCCTTCTCTGAGAGCCACAGCCACTGGGCTACGATACATCCCAACTTAAGTGGTTGTTTTCTATAGTTTTTATGACTAAGACTCACAGTTCTCTTTATTCTCACTCTTTTTAGCTTTTTATTTTTTTTTTTTAATATTAATCCAAACTGTGCATTTCTTTCAGCAAGACTGGCAGAGAAGAACAATATTAAGAGGTGACTGTAAGTGTGACCACTGAGCAGGAAGAGACGACCTACTTGTTCCCCAGATGTACTGGCACTGGTGGTCCCTGGTCTTGCACTCGCCGTTGTAGCAGCGGCCCTGAAGACAGAAGTGACATGTGAGGCTCACGGACTCAGCTCGTTCTTCCCAACATTTGTACCACAAGATCTCATTCTAGTTGACTTAGCTACGGTTTCTTTTCTTTAATTCAAAATAACCATAGTGACCAATAAGAATCACAAACCTCTTAAGAGAAGCACAGCAGTTAAAAATGGGAAACTCAGGACAAGGGGCCTGCCCTGTTAGCACAGTAGGTAGTGTGTCAGTTTCACAGAACTCAGAACAGCCCTTCTTGTATGGTACTTTAAATCCAAACTAATCATCAAAAATCTAAAATTTTATGGAGAACAAAAATTGGTACATTTTATTTTCCATTCTTGTGATATTCTACCCAACTAGGAAAAAAATGGTAATTTATTTGGGTGATATCAAAATCATGTTTAGCTTCTTCTGTGTATAAATGCTTAGGTTATAACATAGCTTCAGGGAAAAACACATAGAAAATTGTCATATTTCCCCATAGTAGATAGGCTGAAATTAATGAAAGATGGTCATAACTCAATAAATTAGATTCCTAATTCTTCAGCCATTACATTTTTTTTCTTTTCTCTCGATCTGGATCAGAGTTAACTATATTTAACATTCAGTATACATGAAGGAACTGACTTTGAACCCTACTATAATGATTTGAATAAATTTCTCTTTAAATTTACATTTCCCAAAAAGAAAAAAAAAATCTTTCCAACGAATAATTTTAAAATTACCTTGAAAACTTATAGCCCAGCATACCTGATTTTGATTGCATGCATATCCATCTTGCTTATGAAGATTTGGTGGGCACTGAAAAATATATCTTTTTAGTTAATGTTCAGCATGCTAAGTACCTTCAGATCATGTGCACAATAAGTAAAAATGCAAAAAAAATGCAAGCCTGGTGAATTAAAATTTAGGAACATTCAGAAAAACACATGTAGCTCCTTAAGTAGGTTATCCAAATTAATTCTCCTGTTATTGGTAAAAATAAATTAGGCTCATACAGTAGATGCTTTTTATATATTTGTCTGTTTACTTGGAAGTAGACTAAAATAACAAATTACATTCGATTACCTATGGAGTTAAAAATAGAAGACATTAAAAGGCACAACGAAGGAAGTGAATCAGCTTGTTATACATAAGTGAACACATTCAAGAACTAATTTATGAGACCTCGCTTGGCACTGTGAGAATGTCACTGTGCTTGACATTGTGACATTCACCTATAGGTTACTGAAACCAAGGAAACCCTGGCCTTTCAGCTCAAGGTAAGAGCCATCTCCCTATTATACTTCTGATTTCTCAAACCATAGACTTGTTACTAGAATAGTCTGTGATGTGATGGTTATTTCTCTTACAGGTCTATTTACCAAATAACTTTATAAAAGAAATTATTTTTCAGTCCTTTAGCTAAGATCAAGTGTGGGTTTTATAAAAAGATACTTCATTTTCCCCAAAGTTATTCCATGTAAGTTTAGATTTTGACTCTGTGCATTTATTTACCACATTTAAAAGAGCTAAAGAACAAAGTCAGGCTCGGCTAGAATGTTCAAAGCAAATATGAAAAGAAAATAATACACAGTCATGGCAAATGAACAGGAAACAATATGTACCAAGGTCTCCCTTAGTCTTCACTACGTCAGTAACGGACATCCCATCCTTCCAATTGCTCAGACCAAAACCACCATCATCCTCTATCCCTCTCTTTATCTCATACTGTCCCTCCATCCGGTCTATCAGTAAATCCTGCTAGTTCTACCTTCAAAATACAGAGTCTGACTACTGTTCTCCACCTCCACTGCTCACGCCCTGTCTAAGCCACCATTACCTCTCACCTGGATTATTGGCAGTAGCCTCCTCCCTGAGCTGCCTTTGAGTCTATTTGCGACAGTCTCTATCACAGTGATCCCTTTAAAAGTAAACATCAGATCACGTTGATGGTCTGTTCAGTATGCTCAAATGGCTTCCCAGCTTACTCACTGACCTTCAAAGTTCCATGTTATCTGCTCCCACCTACCTCTCATCCTCTCATTTTCTTTTTTTGAGTCAGAGTCTCATTTTGTCTCCCTGGGTGCATCATAGCTCACAGCAACCTCAAACTTGGGCTCAAGAGTTTCTCTTGCCTTAACCTCCCCAGTAGCTGAAACTATAGGCACCTGTCACAATGCTTGGCTATTTTTTAGAGATGGAGTCTCACTCTTGCTCAGGCTGGTCTTCAACTCCCAAGCTCAGGCAATCCACCTGCCTCAGTCTCCCACAGTGCTAGGGGTACAGGTATGAGCTGCCAGGCCTGGCCTTGACCTCCCTTTCTATTTGTCCGTGGCTGAGGTGACAGCAGGTGGATACAACAGTCATGGTGGATACACCAGGCATGCTGCCACCCATAGCCTTGGCCTTCACTTTTCCTTCCATCCTACCCCTAGATTTCCGCACAGCTAGAGCTTTGCTCAGGCATCTTCATTTCAGAGAGGCATTCTCTAACTGTGCTCTGCAAAACTACAACCCTCTCCCATGCTGGCATTCTCTGTTTCCCATCCTCTATACAGGCAAGATTTTATATATATTGTTCCCTACTGCCTGTTACCTAGAACTATAATGGGCTTGCGGCAGGTGTGCAATTACTATTGGCTGACTAAGAGAATGCATGAGTGACCTACACAGTTACAACTAGGTTATTCTATTCTGCACATATCAAGCTGTTTATCAAGTTTACCACAGAAAGATGACAGAACTAATTTAGTATTCCTAAGAAGTGGTAACTTCCTCAAGAACGCCTCAAGGTGAAGTGCTTTGGTTTGACATCTTTCCAAAGAATAACTGAGTTTCATACAAGTTTCATTCAATTTGATTGGGTGTATTCAAGGGCTGACTACAAAAACCTGGAGTGCACAAAACTGGGCCAACCGCACAAAAGCAGAAATCTCTGGGGCCTCTTCATCCATCCAGATCCACTCAAAACGCAATCATCATTTCATCAATCAACTGTTGTTAATTATTCACTTACTCTTTGCAGCCGCAGTAAACAGGAATGCAGAATTAATTTGTTAGATTTCACTTTTGTGTTGTTTCAAAGGAAAAAAACCTCATAGAATTCTTTACTAATGAATAAAAAAGCTCTTATATTGTGTACAGACTGTCATAGCCACAAGTGAGATTTCTAATCAATTAGTTTTTAGTTTAGGCTATTAAAAGCCAGTTGCTTACTGCTGAAATGTTTAACAAGGGAAATTATGGGACATCTCATGTTCTCTAGGGACCTTTAAAACAGAAGAACTAGAAATCTGTGTATTCAGCCTGTGAGTAGGGCTTTGAATTCAGTCTCTAAAGACCATTCCAGCCCCCATTTTTATGCCATACAGGAAGGTTCACTTGAGATTGGCAGGCTTCAATAGAGGCTGCATTTAAATGTGTTTATTTTAAATTGTGCTACGCCATCCATTTAAGTGACACATTTCACAGCACTAACGAAAAACATTTCCCACATTTTTCAAATATCTTTATTATAGCATCCAGCATTATTTGCCAAAGAGTCCTCCCAGTTGCAAAAGTATTCTTAATTCTGTCATAAGTTGTAAATTTAAAAAGTAGCTCAGAGGCATCAGTAAAGGATATCATTATTAAGCAAATATAGAATAAAAAGATAAAGTTATGCTGTCTCCTGTAAATACTGATTCTCAGAGATGCAGAGATTCTGGTTTCTTAATTACTAGTAGTATTAATTAAATTCAAAGTTCACTATCTCTTACAAAGTAAAAAAGGGGGGCTAACATCCTCTGTGCCAGCTATCTATTTGGGGTTCACTCCAATCATGGTAAGAACATTCTATTCTAATATGCCACTGAGAAATTAATTTTACAGTATAATTATCACTTTAGATATATGATGTAAGAACAAAGAAATGTTTTACTTAGACAATAGAATATTAGGCTGAACAAAGAGCTTTCATTATAAAAGCCTTATTTTTAATAAATGTCAAGGGAAGCCAGGAGTTAAAGGATTGGAATGAAAAATATCTAACCTTCTAAAAGGGCTGAATACACAGAAGAACTAAAATCATATGCGGTGGACATAAAAATAGCAATATTCTACAAAACTAAAAATGTAATTCAGTAAAACGGTATATCAGGATTGTCAGGACGCTTGCCACTAAATACAGAACACACAATTCATAAACTAAGTCACTATGTTATAGAAAAATTGCAAAGAACACTATTTACATATTTAAATATAAGAAACAGATATGCATAAAAATCACACCCCCCAAAAATTGCCTGAACATATTTCACTATACCATGTCTTTAAAAGGGTCACTGGAATTAAACCTCAGATAATATAGATCAAGACCTTTCAGAAAGGTTAATTAGGAACCTTTTTTCCTCCCTCCTGCTTCTTTCCAGGGAAGGTTACTGACTTCCTGTAACTCTAGCTATGCTGCACCTTCACTCACACCCACTACTGGGCAGTGGAGTGACTGGCTGAGAAGCTTGGGAGGAAGAACCAGGCCTTCTGGCTCACTTCTGCCATTCTTCTCTGGGGAGCAAGCCTACCCACATACATCACTCAGTCTCCATTGCTCCCTACACTACACGAGGTGTGAGGACCTGCCTCTGCAGGGAGAGGCTGTTCTGGACTCAACCTCATCAGGTAACCTATTACTACTGCCTGAACTGGGGCCTACAAGGAGACCCGCCTGGCACTCCATTAAGCTTTGGCCTTTAATGTGACCATTTTCAGTAATACAACCTGGCAACAGGTAAGCCTACTCCTGGGAACTTATTCTAATCCTGAACAGGAAACATTCTTTTAAAAAAGCACAAAGATGTCTATGTCCATACTAAGTAAAATAATAAAAAGCCAAACCTAAGTACCCGTACTGGGTATAAACCAACTGATAAATCCACATGCTAGATTCTCACGTGATCATGAAGAGGTATTCACAAAGACTACAGTAGTAGGGTGAAATGCCTGTGAAGTAATGTCAGAATGAAAATGAAAGTGGAATGAAATCCAAAATTTCACCATGGTCTACAAGTCCCTACCCACCCTGATTCCTGGCTTCCTTTTGGAAATGTTTCCACTATTCTCCAACTCTTCTTGCTTCCATATCGTGAAGGAGCCAAGCGTCTGCCCTCACTGTTTACTGACCAGCTCCTTCTTATCTGTGTCTCTCCGTCAATGTCATGTTCTCCAGGAAGATACCCTTGACCACGCTGCTGACTCTCCAAATCACCCTATCATATGCTTGGCACTTACCACCATCTTTACTTTTCTTTCCACCTCCAGCAGAAGGCAGGTTCCATGATACCCAGGATGTGTCTATCTCCTTCCCCCTCATGTCCTAGGATTTCTAGCAGTGTTTGACACATAGCAGGCACTCAATAAATATTCGTGTGCATGAAAGATAAAGACTAAAAATAATATTACATAAATAAAAGCATAAAAACTGCATAAAGAAGGAAGTCTAGAATGCCACATTATGTTGTAACAATTCGAATGGGAAGAAAATCAAGCCGAAGCCATGAGGCCTATGTGTGTGGGACACAGTGGCAACAAAGAATAAGAAAAGTGGACTTCATGGGACTTCCCAACCTCACTTCGACCAGAGTAGCGCTGCTTGGATTTGTTTTTTACGTTGGGCTTCCATCCAAAATGTGTTAGAAGAAATGATTTTGTGGTTTTAAAATGCTTAAGACCTGTACATTAACACTTTATCCATGTGAATGTACTCTTTAAGATGTGAAGACAAGGAAAGAAAAAAATCAATGAGTTGAGTATCAATCATATAAAAAGAACTAATTATGAAGGGGAAATCTGAAGGAAAAGACGATCTAGGACCAGGTGCAGTAGCTCAAGCCTGTAATCCTAGCACTCTCGGAGGCCAAGACGGGTGGACTGCTTGAGCTCAGGAGTTCCAGACCAACCTGAGCAAGAGTGACACCCAGTCTCTAAAAAATAGCCAGGTGTTGTGGTGGGTACCTGTTGTCCTAGCTACTGGAGAGGTTGAGGCAAGAGAATCACTTGAGCCCAAGAGTTTGAGGTTGCAGTGAGCTATGATGCCATGGTACTCTACTGAGTCTACTGAGTGTGACAAAGTGAGACTTTGTCTCGAAAAAAAAAGAGAGAGAGAAAAAAAGGAGATCTAGGTCCAAATAAACTACAACAAACTTTTCTAAAATAAAAAAGTATGGTGAAGAGCTAAACAAGAAAACAAAGCAAAAATACAACATAAAACAAAAAGAGCCAAAGCATATTCACACATGTAACCTATGTGGAAAGCCTTAAAATGTTTGAGCCAGAGCAAACATCCCTAATCCTAAAATGTGAGATCTGAAATACTTCAAGATTTTTAAGTGACAACATGATGGTGAAGATGACATTATTAGCAATGCAGGCGAAGTGTCTATAGACCACATGGTGAAAATGTCTGGTGGGCTTACTGAAGGACTAAAGCAGTGTGCATTCATAACAAAATAAGAAATCATGTCAGTTTATAAAATCAAAGAGACAACAATCATGTTAATTAGGCAGAAGACTCTGGAGGGAACATTTGAAAAGGCATCCAGCAGAATGCCTGCTCGTCCCCAGAGGACTCATTTCCTAGTCCCTCAACTGCTTCTGTTGTTTCTTCTCATCCAAGCAAATAAAATACAGTGCACAGAAACCTTCAAAGGTTCAGAACACAACATCCTCAGTGCAGATGGAAAGCCTGTTGTTTGTTGTTGCTGTGCTTTAACAGCTGATACGGTCTCCTGGTTTTGCAACCGAGCTGTTTAGTTAGCCTGAACATTGTTTTTCCTTTGTATTAATGGTATGTCACATTTCTTAACATTAAGTACTTACGTGTGAATTAGTGTAAGAAATGATTATCAGTAGCATATAAACTCAGAGTCAGGAATGACAGTGATGGCAAACAATGGCAGATAACCCACATGAGTGGCTGAGACAGTGATACCTGCTTTCTGACAGTTCAGCAATCACAAAATTCATTTCATGCAAAAAATTATTTTAAACGTTACATAAAATTACCTTCAGGCTATATGTATAAGGTGCATATGAAACATAAATGGATTCTGTGTTTAAACTTTTGGTCTCAATCCTATGTTTTTCATTATGAATATTCAAATATTCCATAATCAAAAAATCCAAAATGTAAAATACTTCTGGCCCCAAGCATGACACACCACAGAAGGTCTACCTGTATTTACAAGAAAAATGTACTACCTAAAACACAATTTGTCATACCTGGCCAGAGTCTCCAGTACAATATTCGGTAATATCACACCCATTCACAGCATCCCGACATTCATACCCGCGTGGTTGAAACTGCAAATAAATCGAAATTCAACATGAGGAGTTAGTATTGACTAATATTTCGGGGTAGCATCCTCATATTCGCCATCAGTCATTACATTCCCTCATAACTAGCACAAAATCCTTTTTATGAATGAGTGAGACAGTATAGAATAGAAACCAGACCCAGATGCTACCCTCTGTACTAAGGTGAATCATCGACCAGGCATCAAACGCGCAGGTTCAAAAACCTACTATCTCAAGAGTCTTATTTCAGGAAAACAATATGATAGAAATTACGTAAAGAAGAAATTCTGATTTGGCATAAGACAAAAACAGCAGAACACGGGAACATATCTCTCTGAAGAATTGATATGTACCCCCAACTTTCCCTAATTTATCTGTTTAGCTTGGATATTTATCTTGCTTTAGCGAAACATACACAATCAAATTCCAATGAATTCATATGAGTTATCTTCAGCAACGCCAGTGAATGCCTGTTGTATACAGGCTATTTTCTTTGTCTAGGGAAGGAGTGGGTAAAAGATGGAAAGATCCCATTACCCTCAAGCAATTTATAATCTGGCTGAGGATCTGAAGCAAGGAGAAACTAAGCTAGAATCTTCTAGAATACCATAATGTATATGTCCTTTGGAACTGAAAAATTAATAAAATTATATAATTTTATGGTTATAGGTAATGTTACAGGTTTTATATATGAGATAAAGGAAGATTAAAAATATTTTTCAAAAACCACTAGAGGTCTCTGCAGATGGAAGCCTCCATGTATACACAACCCACAGACTGTGTCTACACACATATAAACATACATATGTGTATTACTTGTCTATCTAGCTTTCCTGCCTTTATAGGTTGTTTTAAAAGCCAGTGGGAAAATATGAACACCAGCTTCTATGTTCAGGGTCTAAAATAAATTAGAGTAAGTTTTGAAGAAAAATGTCATAAGTAGGTCATATTATTTAAAAGACCACAGGAGTTATGCCTCTTCTATGCCATAATTTAATGTGGTTTTCATCCGTTAAGTAGGGCAACTCTCAATGTTTACTTAGGAAGCAGTATAGTTATAATTTCTTAATGAGGCATTGGAGGATAAGGTAGTTGATAGTGAATAATATAGGAAAGATAAATGTTGTGACCTTCAGAATTTGAAGAGATTTATTGATCCTACAAAACCGCCAGGCTAGTATGCGCATCGTAACCAGCGAAGTTTGTGACAAGCTATAAAAATGCTCAGTGTACACGTGGAGATAATTTGGCTAATCTCTCAATTAAAAGAAAAGATGCAACTGCCAGGGAACTCACAAGACATGACGTGTTGTTACAGCAGGGCCCGTCGCTGCAGTGGGCGCCATTGGAGAGAGAGCATTTCTTACAGCACAACCCGTAACATTCCTGGAGAAAATACTTCATATGAGTCAGCGAAGAAGAACCGTACCTGGGAGGCATGCAGTATTTTCTCCACACATGGCACGCATAATGCAAATGAGTAGATTTATACGACTGTAAGCAAACATTTGGGGAATTGCTTTCATCAATGACAGATCCCTTCCTGCTGTATTTCTCTGCTAAGTATGATCTGTAAAAGGGCTACTCTAGCAAAAAGGAAGCTTATTTTTTAGCAGATGACCTACCCCTGATTAGGTCTACTACATTATTAATACCCAATCTAGTTTTATAAAGACAAAAATAATACAAAGTACATGGAAAGAATGTTTGATGATTCGGTAAAACTTATCTTGAGCTGAATATGAGCTATAAATTTTTAAGAGGTCAGGAACCTGATGATTAGGAGAATCCATTAAGTTTTCTCAGACAAGGCCATAAGAACATAACTAATTCTAACATGTCTGAGCTGGGATTAAGCATTGATCAGTGAGATCAAAAAGGAAGCAGTGAGACCACAGTGAATGATAGCATGGCCTCTCATTAATGCGATTCTGTCTGTTCTGGGTAAGATCTTGCACTGCAGGTAGGAAAGGTCTCTTATACCTACCACATGGAAGCCACAGTCACATTCCTCCCCAGCTTCTACATAGCCATTACCACATTCTGTGGGCTCAAACAGCTGAAAGACATCAGAGAAAGAAAAAAAAAATTCAATTTATTACATATAATCAACACACTATCCAGGCCACATCTATGGTCCTATAATCAGCTACCATATGATATTCTTTTGTGATCTGTTGTTATGGCATCTTATAAGTGATATCTGTGCAGAATATACTTTTCACCTATTAATCATACTTTAAAAGATATTTGAAATGGAGTAGGCTGAGCATAGTAGTTCACACCTGTAATCTGAGAGGCCAAGGCAGGTGGATTACCTGAGCTCAGGAGTTCGAGACCAGACTGAGCAAGAGCAGGATGCCACCTCTACTAAAAAAAAAAAAAGGTAGCTGGGCATCGTGGTGGGCACCTGTAGTCCCAGCTACTGGAGAGGCTGAGGAAAGAGGACCACCTGAGCCAAGAGTTTGAGGTTGCTGTGAACTATGATGATGCCACGGCATTCTACCCAGGGTAACTGAGATTCTGTCTCAAAAAAACAAAAAATGAGATAGATCTCTTGGTGGGATTCTCTGGTAGTGGGCTCCACAGACAACCGCTAGCATTAGAGTTACTTTCTATGGAGACAAGCTGTCATGAGGAATAGATCATTTTTCACATTTGCTAATGGAGCTAAAATGCCTTGCTAATAAGACTCACAGATATCTAATTTGCTGTCTTGTTTCAAGGCAGCTGAGAAGCCATAAAAATTGTCAAAAAGATAAATATGCTTCATTTGCAGCCAAATGTGATATATATATAATTAAGTAAATGCAAATAAACTTACAAAAATTTTTTGCTAAAAACAAGCTCATCATCGTCATTGAAAAGAAATCTGCACTGTCTGAAGCCTGTTAACCCACACGTTTGGACACAGAGAAATCCCTCAGTCATTCCCAGAGCAGTGGAAAAGTCAAGTTTCTGGGATAATCCATTCTGCTGGTGCTGTGGATCTGCTTGCCAAATAAACCCAATTGTTGAAGTAGTTGGTTGTTTATGAGAAATGTGCCTATTTCCCCCCAGCTAGGGGGAAGGATTTCTGTGGGCATGATCGCCACATGGGAATGAAGACTGGAGAAGCGGCTCGGCGCCTGTGGCTCAAGTGGCTACGGCGCCAGCCACATACACCTAAGGTGGCGGGTTCGAATCCCCAGCCCGG